GTTCAGCTCTATAATTTTTCGAAAATGGCCAAAAACGCTGTTTTTAGAGGTTTCAACCCCTTTTTTCTCGAAAACGTGACGTGATGGGACATTTTTGACCCCGGATTCGTGTTCAGCACGAAAAATCCGTTCAGAAACACCAGGTCCCGTCTTATTCGCAGAAAAAAAGTTGAAATTTGTAGACCAGTGTAATCGTTAAAAACAAGCGAAAGAATATAAGTGATCGTCGAGATGAATCGTTCAGCCAAAAGAAGTAAATAATGTGAAAAGTTTATAAATATCAAACAATTTTGTTGAGTGTTTTGGTTCTGACCGAGCCAGGGTTCAAAAGCGATGGGACGGGGTAATGAAAAAAGGTAAGCTTATACTTGGTAGCAGAAATCCTGAACATTCTAGAAGCATAACCAAAAATACGATTTGTTAATTTTCTTCAGATATGGGCTGACCTCAAAAGCTGCACAAAAAAGAAGATTGCGGACTATATTCTTAATATAAATATGACAGGTGGGGGTCCCTTTCAGCTTTCACCGCTGACGGAGATCGAGAAACCAATCCACCGCAGCATTTCTACGTCGAATACCGCAGCACAGGCAGCAGCGTCCACCTCTGATAATTTGTCAGCGACTGATATGCCAGTACAATTTATTGTGCGTACACCAACGGTACGCAATTCAAGAGGCTACCTTTACTCGGTAACATCCAGGTATTCGTTTAACAAACTTCCCAGATTTTTTTCTAGCCAAAGGTGCTTACTTTCTAAGCATTCCTTATCACATTTTGGAGATTTTGTATGTTGTTACAACTACAACCAATCGACGCCTGAGTGAAAGATCGACCTATCCCAGCAGCCAGTTCGAAAACGCCCTATCTCAAAAAACTTTTCACAAACGCCGTATTTCAGAATAGGGTTGAAGAACGCTCTTTCTCAGAATTCGGTTCAAGCACGCCCTATCTCAAATGGAAATACATTGAAAATGTGCTGAGATAGGACGTTTTCGAACTGGCTGCCGAGATAGGTCGATCTTCTACTCAGGTGTCGAAATAAGGTCTTATAATAAAAGCGTTGGGGCATTTTGGGCAAACGACGATAATAAATCAAAAATTCTGCCAAATTTCCCTTATTAATACGCTAGTCGCTTGGGAGTTTTTAGCAAATCCCTTTTATTTTCCACTCGACACGATACCTACAATGAGACTGATTAGCTA